GTGTTCATCTGCTTTGTATGTGGTCAAACGTCAAGAGTAGATTTTTCAAGTGATTTCAAGTCGATAAGTTCAATTAACACATGTTTACACCAACCTTCAGTTGACTAACCTTACCAACTTTTGTTTTGATTTGATTATTTTTTGAGGTTAGGCTGTGGAACTCCACTTGAATTCGTAAATTAAGAATGAAACCTTTCAGTAGGATTGGAAATTAGCTAAAATTGAATGGAATGAAGACTCATGAAATAACTACCACTTGCACTCAAGTCAATACAATGCTATACAAAAGTAGACCAAAGTGTTCACATTGTCTTGGTCATCATACTATCTTAGTCTGCTACGTAACAAATTTCGGTAACAAGCTGGTAACTTTACCAAGTGTAAAGTTTATACCACACTGACCAAGAGTATTTAGTTAAAATACAGTCATCAGTCACCAAGACTGAAGATTCATTGAGATATTTTCAAAAAAAAAATATTTGTCAAAGACAGTTTGACCCTGTGTATCTTGAAAATGAAACATTGTCATATCATATTTTTCTCATCAATCACTAAAATGATTGCCTCTTGAAGTTTGGTCACATATTTCAATAACACCCTGTATAGTACTTTTCTCAACTTGGAACATTTCTCATCGAATACATCAATTATTCAAAATACCTCCTTCCTTTCAGATTCTTTTCATTCGAATTGATTATAAAAAGCACGGGGCGTTTTGGAATCTCAGTTTTACGATTATAGTTCTTCTGAAAAAATGATTGGAGGAAATGGTAAGTTATTTTCATTGAAATCTCATAAGTGATAATAATTGAGGATTATTTTCAGAAATGATATCAGAAGCAGTAGTGAGGACAATTTTACCTGAAAACTTAAGAGTTAGTATTTGAAGTGATCTAATTTTATGTGATTCTTGAATCTTGAATATGTTTTAGCAAATGGACATTATCATGATTATAGGGGAAGACGCCCGTGATTTTATGCCAACAGATGCCGTAATTTAGGTAAATAATTTCGAAAAATAAGTATCTCCTTTGAGCTGTTGAAGTCCTGCTAAAAAAAACTGAATCACCCTCTGTATATCTTTTATTTTTACTTCATTATCACCACTTTTTTGACCCTTGAAAAACAATTTTTGTTTGTTGGTTTCTACAGATATCATGTTAGCCATGAATGAGGATATATTTGACAGTTGTATATTGCATCATTATCGCAAACTCAAAAGAGTGGTGATAATGAAGTGAAAATAGAAGATATCACCCTACATATAAATATTTTTGTGATCACAAAAATTATAGATTCCGAAAAAGATATAAAATACAGGGTGTTCCATTTGAAAAAATCAATTTGTGGTTTGTCACGCTATTAGGGATCACCCTGTAAAACTTCTGATAAATGCTGTGGAAAGGCGTCATTGCGGCATTCAACTTATTGTTTTTTTCCCTCGATGAAAAAATAAGGCTGATATAGGGGTGGGCCTTCTCGATAGATAACCCTGTACAAAACCAGTGATAACTTGGATTATCTTGTAACTAAAAAATAACATTAATTTACTATCATTTCATAAGCTATTTGAGAAATGTAAATCTAAAAACTCAGATATATCACAAATCGTAAGATAAGATATGATATTTAATAAACATAATAAATTTGGATTCACAAACACTGTTTTATATGTCATATTATTCTGTTTTTGTAGTGCACAGATTGTCGCTCTGTATAACTCGATATCGTTGTTTCAATATCATATACAGATCATATAACCATTATTTTTCTGACGATAATTCTGAAGTGGAAATTTGGAATGTCATGAAGAGCAAAATTGAAGTGTGCTATTTTGTAGATAAAAGTAATTTGCATAAATATTTTATGAAACAATCTCTATGACTGAGCCTGATTACCTTGAAGTCCTGAATCCTTTTGTAGCATCTCAGGCAGTATCAAGAAGTTACTATGGATTGTAATGGGTACATTTTCTTCACCTCAAAAAAATATAGAGACTAAATGCAAATATCCAGAAAAAACCATACTAGAAATGAATGAAGCATATGGCCACTAATCCTTATGCATGTTTCAATGTGCTAGTTCCTAGGAATTCTTTTATCAATTCCATAATATTGTTCTTTTCAATTCTATTTTAAAACCTATATTGTATGCAGAATTCAAAAGGCTGGAGGACCTCGGTCAATATCCAATTGGTTATAATGTATATTATACAGTTTGTCCATAAAGTGACCCAACCCCCATTGTTATTTTTTGAACAGCTGGGAATTATTTCATTCTTCTTATTTATTCACGGGAAAGCCCATTAAAAAAAATACATAAATATATACATGTATTCGTAGTGAGCTTGAAACTGATATAAAAACCTCGATAAAATTATATGAATTCTCCTTTGGATTTGGTTTTAAACTATGAAGTTCTTGTAAGAGACATGCAAATGATCGTTGATCTGAAAATGAGACTCTCAATAGGTGCCTAATTTGAGCCCATTCTGTTAATTCATTTCTACTCGAAATCAAAGTTAAAGCTTTTCCTTTCAGTTTGCTGATTATACCTCTCAAAATTGATTTTTTTTATGAATGCAGGTTCTGCATCATATTGAATAAAGGTTTCATCACAAGCTGCACAGAAATTATTCAATTCACAAGGATCACCAGAAAAATATGGTATGATATCTAAAAAGAGTTTCAATTGTTGATAGTTCATGTTGGTAGACATTATAGAATCAGTTTCGTTACTTTCCAAATTCAAATTAGCGAAACTTTGAAAAAGGGAGTCAAGATTTAGGTTGTCGTTACTTTCAGTAACTAAATTATGGTTTTGTTGGTTTAAAGTAGCACGCTGTTCACGGATTTCACGGTTTTTTTGTGATATTTCTCTGACTACGTTGAACATAAAAAATTAAGAGAGAATAATTTTTCACAGTGTAGGAAAAGGAAGTGAAGGAAAAATTGAGAATGACTTACATCTAGGTTCTTAATCCTAAACCAATCTAGGGAATGCTGTCCTTCGAAGTGGTTGATAGTGGTCCTCTGATTCGTTCCTCTGTTGGGATATTCAGATTCGCACCCCGTATCTCCAAGTTGGATTGCTGCCCTCACTTGCAGGTACTAAAGTCTTTTTGAAAATTCACTGAAGATTTGTTGAAACACTATTGGATCTTCCTGCTTGCAGTTTCTCCACACTATGTTAACTCGTCTTCTGAAATTTTCCCTGGTGGTGGTTTTTGACTCTTGTTTTTCCAAAATCCGTCGCCGACTGCGCCAGTTACGTTTGTGCCCCTAGCAGTTGTGGTTCGTGGAAGCACCTTCGTAGTTTTGAAACCAATTTTGTATTGAATAACTCTTTCTCAACATTCACTCAACACACAATAAAAGATTGTCTTTTCTCGATGCGTTTTTAATGAAGTTGAAAATGCAGGCTACAAGTGACAAAAATGGAATGTTCAATAGAATACATATTTCCTTTTTATATTATAATTTAGAAGATAATTCACGGTATGAAAATATTCAGCAAAAATAGAAATATAAAGTCCGGTAGGAAGCTGACTCTGCATTCTGGATGTCATCGCATTGTCTCCATAGACAGGTCCGGCTTCAGGAACATAACTCCGTGCCGATCACCCACCAACGTGAAGAACATCTTGTTCTAAAAAATATTGTCTTCTAAGTACCGCATATTTGTTGAAAAAAAAATCTACATACTTTCAATCTTTCTGGTAACCTGGCTCTTATTTCTTCATATGTGAATTCTGAAATAAAAAATTGACTGTAGTGAACTCAAAAGTTTTTGCTTGATAGTTTTTCAGAGAGCTACACTTTGTATAAGAATTTTTAAGTTTTTGCTTGAAATTTGTACCCATACTGGAATATATTGAAAATACGTCTCCTAAACATGTCTCAACTATCAATACATTTGTCAATTAAATATTTCAATGCCAAAAATTCACCTACTGAAATACAATATTTAATGCAGTGAAAATACGTTATTTTTGTACACCCGAAAATTGAATACCACTTTTCCTTCCTAATCAAGTACACAGGGAAACAGTTATTCACGATTCCTAAGAGTTTTTTTTTCTTTTTGGACAGACAATAGATAGACAATAAATAAATACCACTTTTTCATCCAAAGCAAGTTTATAGTTCAATATTTCATACTCGTTGCGAATATTTCAATGCCAAAAATTAGCAAAAACTGATCGCTACACTATAAAAAAATCTATAATTGACTTACCCATGGTAGGTATCTTCAATGCACTTCAACTGTAAGTGAAGTTGCAATGCGATTTCGAAATGCAGTTATAGTATATTAAATAAAAAACTGAAGTCGAAATAACGGCAGTACCTAGATTTTTGTGACCCACAGAAATCTATAAACTCAACATACATCCATATCCAAGTAGTGCATTTTCATGAACAGTTATTAGTTCTGGTATCCTACTGAACTCGTCGCTTCGAGGTCCGTTGACCGAGAATCGTGTTTAATGGTTATGCTAATTGAGTCGTTTTGAGTCTCGGCAAAACATAATAAACAAAACCGTGATAATTATATTACTAAATGAATGCACAAGGAATTGCTTTCGAATGGAGCGCGCAGTGGCGCAACCAGAAATATGAGCAAGGTGTACTTATACTGTATGTTCGAACTCTCATAGGTAAGGAAACATGTATGAGAGAGCAAGGGGTACTCTCATAGGTGAGGAAACATATATGAGAGAGCAAGGTGTACTCTCATAGGTAAGGAAACATGTATGAGAGAGCAAGGAGTACTCTCATAGGTAAGGAAACATATATGAGAGAGCAAGGTGTACTCTTATAGGTAAGGAAACATGTATGAGAGAGCAAGGGGTACTCATATTGAAATATCAGAACTCCCATAGGTAAGGAAACATATGTATGGGAGAGCAAGGGGTACTCATTTTGTACGTTCAAAATTTCTGCACTCTCATAGGTAAGAAAGCATTTACGAGAGAGCAGCTCTGGTATCCCTTCGCTTTTCTACTCATTTGCTCCATCGTAACCCTGTCCTCTACATTCAGTCAAATCAATTCCATATTCTTTAGTCAAATTTAAAATGTCAGTTTTCAGACCTGCAGCACTGCAATCGGTTACTGCTATAAATCCTAAAAAGGACTCACAGATTTTTATTTCTTTAGGCCCATTATCATCATTTTCTGTAACCGAGATATATCGAAAAACTACAGAAAGTTGGTCAATTTTTGACAAGTCTTGTGTTGTATCCAGAGTTATTGTCAGAAATGGAGCTTTTTTAATTTCTGAGATAATATTGTTCCTAACGGTGGTACCAAGCAAACTAATAATTTCGTTTTGAATCGTAGGGCTTAAATAATTTATTTCGCCTTTCGGTTTTAGAAGAAGTTCTTTTAAAGTTGCATCATAGTTAGATAGCAAACGTGAAATTGCCATAAAATTTCCAGAATCAGAATCATGCCCTCTCAAAGATAGATTACAAGATGCTAAAGTAAAACATTAATTATACGATGCAGTACATCTCTCCAGAATGTAATTTTACTATTGATTTCACTTTGCACTAGAGTATCGATGGTATTTCCTTGCAACCCATTATTATAAGACAGTGAGGCATTCATATGCTGCTATGACTTTTCATGGTCAAGTATAGTTTGTGTAAAATTGCTTCTAACCGAAACACCGTCAACCCAAGCAGAGGAGTACGATTTGTTTTGACGATCTGCTAATAACCAACAGAAGTGACAGTACGGTTTGTTTAAAACGTTAGAATAACATAACCATGGTGTTACAAGTTTTATGCCTGCCTGATTGAAATATGAATAATAATAGGCCGAAAAAGGTCGGTTACTTTCTGAATCTTTTGTAAATGGTCCTTGTGGTTTAAATGGACCCAATTTAAAAATTATTTTTCGTTCGCATTCAGATAAATTGTCACCAAAATTTCCTCTATCTGATGAAATTAATAATAATATCTCATTAAAAAAAGGAAAAAAACAACTCACTTTTTTTAGTTCTCTACAATTTCGAACGACGCTGCTGGATTGGTCTTTCCAGTCTGAATCTCCCCTTGGAACACCAGAGAGTATTTTCCACTCCAAAACATTTCTATGTGGCTGTGACCCTATTTGGCAGGGATATGACGGCCTTCCCCAACTCCAACAAAACTGCCATCCCAAATTTGAAATGAACAACTTTGGCTGACTTGATTGGATGGGGTTGTCCGATCGGCAGTTCGGTGAGCTTCTTGATGGGCTTCCTCTCCTCAATCAGTGAAGCTTCATTCAATTTTGTGAGATCTATCTGGTGAAAAGAAGAAGAAGGAAAAAAACATCAACATTCTAATGAAATGAAATGCAAAGAGAAGTTATTCGGGATTGAGCCTTGAACACTTGAATGAATCGATCCTAATTTAAAAAAAACCTTGAATATAATGGAAAAGGTCTATAATATATGAGAATAGAAATGAACACTTGAAGAAAAACAAAAGGTACTTACTTTTATTGATTGTAGTATTTGCACACAAAAACGAAGAAATGATAATTATTGGTGGTGATGATATTGGCAGGAGACCAGGCTGAGTTGGTTCGCGTCTGCTGGCTTCCACAACTGGAGACTGAATGGTTATTCTGCAAGTCTCTCGCTTCATATTCTGAACGGGTGGGTAGAGATAAAGCATGTGACTTTTTAATCATTGAAAACATGAATGCATAAACTGATAACCGTTAGTGATATGAAATGTTATAGTTTCACGCGCTCCAGAATGAATAAAGTTGATAATAATATCTAACCTCATTGGCAGGAATTTTCCGAGCTTATCTGAACTATTGAAAAACGCATTCATCCACATTTGCATGAAGTATTCAAGGTTATCTGAATTGTTGGAATGAACAGTCAACCGCATTTGCATGAAGTATTCAACGTTATCTGAATTGTTGAATAAAGCAAATGACCGCATTCACAGGAAGCTTCCAACCTAATCAGTAATGTTTGCATCTTCATCTCAATCAGAAATACGCCAAACAGATTATAAATGTTCGTTATTTATTTCTCTCTCAAGAATTGTATAATATTAATCGAGATTATTGCAACTAAAAATGCTAAATTGGTATATGATGAAATGTGTAATGTTACAAAGGATTTTTCTTGATCAACTAGGGCCGTTGGTGTTGATGGTGGTGGTGGTGGTGGCAATGTTGTTCCTGGATCTTCGAAAAACTGCCATCTTCCTAAATCTCCAAAGGTTCTATCGTCGAAAATCAATCAAATTTTTCATTTTGTCTCGTTTTTCGGCACTTTTATTGGGAACACTTCCATCTGACCGTCATAGATGAATCCCCTTCTCATAACCATCCTCTGGTATGGTTCTTTATTGTAAAAAAATCCCAGCTTCTCTAACCTTATTCGGTACATTCACATACAACATATTGTTCAGGATTGCTGTGAGTATTACCATTATTATTTGGAATGCTTCTATAAAAAAATTCCCCCTTTATTAGGCAATGGAATATGTTTCTTTTTGTTCTTTTCCACCGGAATGCAATACACACCCAGTATATAGACATATTTTCTTCTATATTCACTATGAAAATCGGGGATGTTAGTATTATTATATGGCAACTATGGTAACACCACCAATCGAAAATGCGATCAATGTTCCAACCCAAATCTATTTATAATATTATTTTCCAACAACATCTCAGATAAAAACATTCTGTTTTTATATCAGTATCATACTACAATTTACATAGACGCTTGGTAGCGTAATGCGAGTATTGCCGCCTCATTGGCTTTCAAGTTTCCCTCTCTAACACATGGTTTGCCCTATGTCTATAGTCAGGCTGTCATAGCTTAACTACTGTGGAATTTTCCTCTCCCCTTGCCTGTACCCCTTCCATATCTCATGAAATTTATGCTGTGTTAGAAAATTTCAGTTATATTTTGTTATACTCACTGTCGAATTTCAAAATCCTCTTGTTCAACAGGATGATGCCATACAGGCACATTATCCACATCATTGAACTTGTTCCTAAAATGAGAAATAATATTATAAATTTTGGTACATTTTTCAAAAATATAATTCACTAACAGTTGAGTCCACCGCTCATTTAGGAAAGTTCTACCTTCTGTGAAGTAAAATTGTGTTATATCAGTTTCTTTCTCCTCAAAATAGGAAAACCTTACCATTTTTCACGACAACAAAGGGCCAAAACACCCATTTTGTTCCTTCCACAGCACTCAAATATTCTAGACTGTTGATTGGTCTTTCCAGTTTGAATCTTTCCTTGGAACACCAGAGAGTATTTTCCACTCCAAAACATTTCTATGTGGCTGTGACCCTATTTGGCAGGAATATGACGGCCTTCTCCAACTCCAACAAAACTGCCATCCCAAATTTGAAATGAACAACTTTGGCTAACTTGATTGGATGGGGTTGTCCGATCGGCAGTTCGGTGAGCTTCTTGATGGGCTTCCTCTCCTCAATCAGTGAAGCTTCATTCAATATTGTGTGATCCATCTGGTGAAAAGAAGAAGAAGGAAAAAAACATCAACATTCTGATAAAATGAAATGCAAAGAGAAGTAATTCGGGATTGAGCCTTGAACAAATGAATGAATCGATCCTAAGAACTCGAAATGAAATGAAAAATGCAGAGAATAAAGGATCAAGCATAAAAAACCACTTGGATCAATTATTTACGATAAAACTCGGAATAGAATGAAAAAAAGGTTAATTTCGGAATAATCGGTAACACTAGGCTAAATTATTTAAAAAAAACCTTGAATATAATGGAAAAGGTCTATAATATATGAGAATAGAAATGAACACTTGAAGAAAAACAAGAGGTACTTACTGTTATTGAATGTAGTATTTGCACACAAGAACGAAGAAATGATAATTATTGGTGGTGATGATATTGGCAGGAGACCAGGCTGAGTTGGTTCGCGTCTGCTGGCTTCCACAACTGGAGACTGAATGGTTATTCTGCAAGTCTCTCGCTTCATATTCTGAACGGGTGGGTAGAGATAAAGCATGTGACTTCTTAATTATTGAAAAACATGAATGCATAAACTGATAACCGTTAGTGATATGAGTAGTGATACAATGTATGTTCTGCCTCAACATTTTTGAGGCAGAACATACGTATGTTCAATTGAGATGAATGGATCTCCAGTGGGAAGCAGGGAATCAAATGATATACAATTATACCTTTAATAGAACTGATAAATGTGACAATACATCAATGAATTAATTATGACATTACCAATGACATTCAACTACTTCAATAAACTACATGTTCCAAATTACTTTACAACACCCTCCCTATTTGGGACAAGTCCTTGGCGAACCAAACATGTACGAAATTTATCACTATTCAAAGATTTCGTGAAAGAATCCGCTACCATATCTTGTGTTGGAACATGATGCAACTTTATTTCTTGACGGAGAATACGTTCCCGTATGAAATGATGTCGCACATCAATGTGCTCAGTTCGAGCCTGATAAGCACCATTTTGAGCCAAGTTCTGAGCGCCTTGGTTATCAACATTGAGTATAGTTGGCTGTTTGGCAGTAGCAAAAAATAATTCACTAGCAAGGCCTCGGAGCCAGAGTGCTTCCTGTATCGCTGCTGACATAGCCATATACTCAGCTTCAGTAGTTGACAGAGCTATGGTAGGCTGACGCTTAGTGGCCCACGAGATAGGTGAGTTATTCTTCAGGAAGATGTAGCCGGTGACACTACGTCGCTCATCTTCGTCACTTGCCCAATCTGAGTCACTATATCCAGTAATATCACTGATGTTCGTGTACACCGATGGACATTTGAGCATGACCCAGTCTGAGTTCCTTCCATCGCAGCCCGTATCCACAAAAGAAATTCAGATAGGGTCCCGCCGTTCCGTACCAATTGTTCTTGTCCTTGGGTCCGAACTTGACGAACTCGAGTCCTTCCTCTTTGAAGCACTTCACAACTATTTCCGCTACCTTGGTGAGAGTAGTAGAATATTTCTTCTGACCTGCATTAATGGTGAAGCCGCTCTTCTCTGCCTTCCCCTTGATGCCATCTCCTGTCCCGTTTGCCGTCTGACGCAACACACTGTACCCAGTGAAGAGAATGTTGGTGAGCTGGGTGCATATGTCCAAGTTGTTGAAGTCTGCCACAGGTATTCCCATTGATAAATACAACTTTAGATAGCTGTTCACTATTGCTGTTATGCACTTGACTTTCTGCCCCTCATCGATTTCAATTCTGGGCTTCTTCGCACTCCCTACCTCACGGTTTGTGTCGTTTGGATCTACTATTATCGTTGGATCGTCATTCTTCCGTTTTGTTGTGCTCGGGGCAGCTGGTGCGGGTTCTGTTACTTCCATCTGAGTTGGCTCCAGTAGAAACAGACCACTCCTGAGATTTTCAATATTTCAAGCACTTGAATCTGGGCCCATAACCAATTGAGATGAATGGATCTCCAGTGGGAAGCAGGGAATCAAATGATATACAATTATACCTTTAATAGAACTGATAAATGTGACAATACATCAATGAATTAATTATGACATTACCAATGACATTCAACTACTTGAATATACTACATGTTCCAAATTACTTCACAACATGTTCTGCCTCAACTTAGTTCGGTCTAGTCTTAGGTGAGGCAGAACATACGTATGTTCAGCCTCAGCGATTTTTCTGTGTTATCGATCTCGTTGAGATGGCTATATGGTGGTTGGGAAGGTAGAAGGTGGTTGAACACCCCACGTAATCCAGAGGGGTATATTATTTGTTTGAAAAAAAATGTTTTTGTCACACCCACACGACTCTATCATCATATGTGTGAAGCCCTCCCACAAGACTAACCCTGTGATGTATATCTAGTTGGTAATGCTAATAATGAATATAGTATTTTTTGTAACCTATCCTAATAAAATGCACACCCTGTAATCATCTGAAAACAATATTATATGATAATCAGCTATCCAAACTTGTACAGATGTCGGTTGATGAACTTGTTATTGTTAACATTATCACAGAGATAAGAGTGAATTTGCTTCCAATACTTAAACATGGGAAAATTATTATTCTAGTTTGCATTTTTATTCATGACTGTTGGAATATATATCCTTTTTTTTCTAATAAATTTGTGAAACAATGTGATTGTGATTTTGGGTCACACCTGTTTCCTAGAGACTGAGGTGAGTAGTAGTGCTATTTTAATCTTTGATTGGGAAATTTTTTTGAAACTGGTGTAATTATATGGTCAAGTACTTGGACCACACCCAGTTGTTTCTCAAATCTTATTCAACCTAATTCTTTCTAAAATCCCTAATTTTTACAATGAAATCAATTTTGATATCAACGATTTTTATTTTGTTATGTGGTTTCGAAATTCTGATTTGATTCTTGACTTTGATAGTCATTGTCACACCCTATTGAATATCTTTCCTATTTGAGTGATTGACAGTCAATTTTATTCAAAAACTTGAACCACACCTCAGTTTTCGCAATTAAATAAAGATTTTATAGTTTTTGTGTTATTTGAACATCATCATGATTAGTTTCTATTGGAAGGGTCATTTAGTATCATTCAAAAGATACAAGAACCACACCCAGTTTTTGCTTTGAAAAATATTGATAAAAAGTAAAGATTTTGGGGGGGTGAGATAGTGAGAGTAAATATTTTGTTCAATGTATTGAATACTTTCTCAAGCATTCTATATTTTTCTGTTCCGAAATATGTATTTTGTATGGTCTACTACTTTTTCTCATATTAAAGAGAGAGAGATAGAGAGCGAGATATGCTGTTTTTCTCTTACTCAAGAAAGAGAGAAAGGTGTATTAAATCATGTAAGTATGTATACTAACAAACTATCTATCAATCGAATTCGCCGTCGAGTCTGAGACATGATGTATTATATCCAATTAGACTGAAGGCGTCGCGACGTTCATCACCTGTCCGCGCACAGAGCCATCTAAGAAAGTCCTTAGGTTACACCCTGAGTTAGAATCACGCGACTTTTAAACGTTCATCTGGAAGCTAACGCGAAAGCCTTCAGGCATATCGAAAATATTATACTTACCACTTGAATAATGATACAATCTGATCAATTTGTGAAAATCGTTCTGCTGGGGCACATATTTTTCACAAATTTGGATCAGAGGTTTGGGTATTTTTGGGGTGGAATTATACAGGGTTATTCCTAAGTTGATGCTTTTTTAACTGATGTGTATAGAACTCGTTTAAATAATTAAAGAGCTTTTCAGATAACTTTTCTTGGGAAACTGAAAATGAGCGAGATTCGGAAAAATAATCTGGGTTTGTGTATCAAGACCTACCTATTCGCTGTTTATGTTTAGTTTTGCTCAGATTTCGTCTTATCGATAGGACATTGTAATTATGGCAACTTTGAACACCTTATTTAGGTTAGACAGGACTGTACTAGATACGTTTTGTAATGATATAACTTTTTATATTCCAGTTTTTGAAAAGTTGTTTATTTTAACGGGTTCTATATACGCAGTTGAAAAAGTTTCAACTTAGGAATCATCCTGTGTTGCTAAAAATATACTGAGATTTTATCAATAGCATCGACCATTTTGAATATGGAGAAATTTTTAAATAGCAGAAGTTCTTTTGTCAAGAAAAAAATATTTATCACATGGAACTACACCATCCTAAGAGGTTGGGGTGGGGGTGTGTATGACAGATTCAGTTTCAGTATAGTCCTCAGAAGGAACAGTATTGAATCAAAGTGTGGCTTGTCATGACGCTAGCAGCCATGAATTTTCAAAATTTTGAAGATAGGTTGAAGACTTTCAAAAATTGGCCTTCATCTTCACAAATATCAGAAATCAGTTTATCTATGGCTGGCTTCATCTATGATGGGTATGATGATATGGTGAGCTGTCCTACTTGTCAAATTTCGGTACACGATTGGCAGACATATGACAGTCCAATGTCAGATCATGTTAAGTGGTCACCAAACTGCCCGTTTATGTTGGCAATACTGAAAAAGTATCCAATCATGTTGACAGCATTGGAGGATGACGCTAAAGAATCATTGTATAATAGAATCGAAGTGTGTCCAAACTCTGTGTCTGAAAGCCCACCAACAAAAAACTCAACTCAATCAAAAAACAGAATTTGTAAGATATGTTTCAAAAACGATATTGATATTATGAATATGCCATGTCAGCATGCATTTTCATGCATGATTTGCAGTTACAACATAAAAACTTGTATAATATGTAAATATTCGTTGGAGTCGAGTCTTAAAATAAAATTTGAATGAAGGTGTGGTGGGGATTGGATGGAATAATTGATTCATTGATAAAATTCCAAAATCATCAGTATAAATCGTGATGTCTAGCGATCAACAAGTTCTTGAGAAACACCTCAAAAATATTGTGATGGTGAAAAAGCAAATAGCTGTGTATGAGAAGAAGACATCAATGTTCAGAGATTTTGAAAAACTCAAATTATCGTGGTCTAACATCTTGGAGGCTCGTGAACGTTCGTTTCCTGTTACAACATCACAAATAATTGCCCCCACAAAAGTACAGTGAGAAAATGGCTGTATTAGTATCAAGCTATGTACTTCTTGTAGGGATAGTGAACAATATTCTCTATGTCAATCAACCATATGGGGTGCATAGTATGTACATCTGTTTCAACATGAATGACACTGTGGATGAGCGAGAATCCTCAGCATGGACACCTATGAGAGGGTTGTTAGTGAATCAGAACAGGCTTTCAGTTTTTATGGCCCCAATACCGAAAATAGAGAAGTCTCATTTCACGTATAAACTTAAGCTTGTATTTCCGGACTATAGTGAAGGTGATATGAATAATTGGAGAACGGCACTACTCGTAGACAATGTTCATGATATTTTCACACCCCCCACCACCACCACCTCTACGACAAATACTGCAGATGGAAATTCTTCAGAAGTTGATAACTTCATATACATGAATTCCACGTACATAGCGAAAGACATCCCGATTGCCATGATGGGTGACACAACACCCTTCACCAACATGAAAGACAATATGAACTTAGCTTTTATATATTTATACGTCATAACCTGCTCTGTATTTATTATTATGATAAAAAGTACATTCATCATTCTAACATTGATTCGTAATAAAAAAATGGACGATGTGTAATATCTGTATTTTGAGATGAAATAAAAATAAAATGAGAACTTATATTTAAATATTTATTTATTGAATATAAGAATACATTGAATACAAGATACAGAATAATCTCCAACAAAGTTATTGAATATGTCTAACTATACCACTAAGAGGGAAGTATTCAAATATTTGATCGTGAATGATTATGCAATATGCCCGAGTGTTCTGAGGAAAACCAGACCTCGATTCAATTTCCAATTTCACATCAACTGTGCCCATTTTCATTGATTCATCTCGTTTTGCACAGTCGATTACGTAAACAGTTCGAGATTTGAATGCTGCATAATCTAGTAATGGTATTTTGACAAAATTTTTTGTGAAAGCTATGTACGTGTTATAGACTCCTAGAAATTGGTTTTTGGTGAAATCAGATTTCATGCTCTCATATGGGTAATAATCGGAATTTAGACTCAATATGACATCGCTGATATCTAAATTTTCAAAGTAATTGATATCCTTTATATTGCTTTCTTTACGTTCAGTTTGGAAAGCCACAATGATATATCTTGGACAATCCACAGAGCTTGCTGTCTTAACGGTCCAAATTTCCTTTGTGGCACCTGTTTTGAGTGTTGGATATTCAAATAGCTCCCACCTTCTGAATGGTATGAAAAGGGGTTTATCTTTGTTGATCTTTTCAAGTAGATTCAACTTTATATGATCATTGAGAAAAACATGAGCTACTTCGAGTTCGATATTGGAAATGGTTATTTTCCCCTTAGTGTCAATATTTGTAGCGACATAGCTATTAAGATCATTTCTGGCACGTACAAATCTAAGGGTATGTTTTCCAATGATGTTGACCTTGTAGTCATTGAATATTGCCATCATATGACTCAATGGAATCCTCATTGAAAAGTTACCTGTGGTAGGGTGATGAGTCACCAAAGTATTAAGTGGGTAATTCCAGCCTGCTATACATAAACTCTTTGAATCTCCTTCATGATAACAGAGATATCCTCTGATAGTACTAACAATACCAGGATCTCTGACTTTATCAATTTCTTTGCCAGATAATTCATATGTGATGGAATCGAAAAGAAATGCACCAGCATTGTTAGTGAACTGGATGGTTCCGGTACCAACAGTTTTCTCTAATTTTCCCTCGACGAGAATTGCAGCCTCATGCATTTTCAACATAGCATCTTGTTGGTAGATGGTTATTTCAATTTCATCACT